CAACTCTAGATGCAACTAAAGCAGTTGGACCAGACAAAGTATCACCGTGGATACTAAAAGAAGCAGCACAGGCCCTCAGCGTGCCTCTGGCAATGATCTTTAATGAGTCACTTATGTCAGGAGAATTGCCCAGTTGCTGGAAGAAGGCAAATGTCGTGCCGATCTTCAAGAAAGGAGATAGGGAGGAGGCACTTAACTACAGACCTGTATCACTGACAAGCATCCCCTGTAAAATACTGGAAAGAATAATTAGGCTACGACTGGTTGCACACCTGGAGAACATTAGGTTTGTGAACAAACATCAACATGGGTTCTGGACAGGGAAATCGTGCCTAACAAACCTTCTGGAATTCTATGATAAAATAACGAGGATAAGACAGGACAGAGATGGTTGGGCAGACTGCATATTTCTGGACTGCCAAAAAGCCTTTGATACAGTACCGCACATGAGACTGCTGTTCAAGCTCGAGAGGCAGGCGGGGGTTGGGGGAAAGGTCCTAGAATGGATAAGGAACTACCTAACAGGAAGGAGCCAAAGAGTTACGGTAAGGGGCGAGAAGTCGGACTGGCGAACAGTAACAAGTGGAGTACCACAAGGATCGGTGCTGGGACCAATTCTATTTCTTGTATATGTTAACGACATGTTTACAGGCGTAGAGTCCTACATGTCGATGTTTGCGGATGATGCAAAGTTGATGAGAAGAGTTGTGACAGATGAGGATTGCAGGATCCTCCAAGAGGACCTGAACAGATTGCAGAGATGGTCAGAGAAATGGCTACTAGAATTCAACACGAGCAAATGTAAAGTTATGGAAATGGGACTAGGAGATAGGAGACCAAAGGGACAGTACACAATGAAGGGGAACAGCCTACCTGTAACGACGCGTGAAAGAGACCTGGGGGTGGACGTAACACCTAATCTATCTCCTGAGGCACATATTAATAGGATAACGACAGCAGCGTACTCTACACTGGCAAAAGTTAGAACATCATTCAGAAACCTAAGTAAGGAGGCATTTAGGGCGCTTTACACTGCCTACGTAAGGCCAGTCTTAGAGTATGCCGCCTCATCATGGAGTCCCCATCTGAAGAAGCATATAATGAAACTGGAAAAGGTTCAGAGGTTTGCAACGAGACTCGTCCCAGAGCTACGAGGGATGGGGTATGAAGAGCGCCTGAGGGAACTGTGCCTTACGACACTAGAAAGAAGAAGGGAGAGGGGGGACATGATAGGAACGTATAAGATACTCAGAGGAATTGACAGAGTGGACATAGACGAAATGTTCACACGGAATAGTAACAGAACGAGAGGACATGGATGGAAGCTTGAAACTCAGATGAGTCACAGAGATGTTAGGAAGTTTTCTTTTAGCGTGAGAGTAGTGGGGAAATGGAATGCACTTCAGGAACAGGTTGTGGAAGCAAATACTATTCATAATTTTAAAACCAGGTATGATAGGGAAATGGGACAGGAGTCATTGCTGTAAACAACCGATGCTCGAAAGGCGGGATCCAAGAGTCAATGCTCGATCCTGCAAGCACATATAGGTGAGTACATATAGGTGAGTACACACACACACACAAACACAAACACACAAACACACACCCACAAACACACACACACAAACACACACCCACAAACACACACACACAAACACACACCCACAAACACACATACAAACACACACCCACAAACACACACACACAAACACACACCCACAAACACACACAAACACACACACACAAACACACAAACACACACACAAACACACACCCACAAACACACACAAACACACACCCAGAAACACACACACACACAAACACACACACACAAACACACACAAACACACAAACACACACACACAAACACACACACACAAACACACACACACAAACACACAAACACACACACACAAACACACACACACAAACACACACACACAAACACACAAACACACACACACAAACACACACACACAAACACACAAACACACACACACAAACACACAAACACACACACACAAACACACACACACAAACACACACACACAAACACACACACACACACACAAACACACAAACACACAAACACCCACACACACAAACACACACTCACACACAAACACACACACACAAACACACAAACACACACACACACACAAACACACAAACACCCACACACACAAACACACACACAAACACAGCGGAAATACCAAAAACAGAACCCAACATCTGTCTTATGATGCGCTTTTTGTATTTTTTTATCCTCTAGGTGGAGCGCCGCGCCTGGCACTTGACACTCCGCTGAGGGGAGAGTGTCACTCCCCCGTGTCATATGGCACTGTGTCACCCCACGTTCCCGACCCACCCTATAGCCCCTTATAACCCACTGTTCTCTAATATAGAGAACAGTGGGTTATAATATAGAGAGCCTTAGTATAGCTGTCAGTACCTCCCATTCGCAGACACAAGCCAAGAACAGCTTGTGGTGTGAACACGTTCACCTCACGGCCAGAGAACACGGTCATAATGTGTTCATGTGAACAGTGGCGTCACAAGTTGAACAATAACATATTAACCGTGTTTACAAGTAGACATTAAACTCAGAAGCTTGTAGAACGCGACAAGGAAATTATGGGGCGACAAAGCTGGGATGTGAGGACAAGGTGCTGGGGTATGAGGACAAGGAGCTGGGGTATGAGGACAAGGAGCTGGGGTATGAGGACAAGGTGCTGGGGTATGAGGACCAGGTGCTGGGGTATGAAGACAAGGAGCTGGGATATGAGGACAAGGAGCTGGGGTATGAGGACAAGGTGCTGGGGTATGAGGACAAGGTGCTGGGGTATGAGGACCAGGTACTGGGGTATGAAGACAAGGAGCTGGGATATGAGGACCAGGAGCTGGGGGTATGAGGACAAGGTGATGGGGTATGAGGACAAGTTGCTGGGGTATGAGAACCAGGAGCTGGGGTATGAGGACAAGGTGCTGGAATATGAGGACAATGAGCTGGGATATGAGGACCAGGAGCTGGGGTATGAGGACAAGGTGCTGGGGTATGAAAACAAGGAGCAGGGGTATGAAGACAAGGTGCTGGGGTATGAGGACCAGGAGCTGGGGTATGAGGACAAGGTGCTGGGGTATGAAGACAAGGTGCTGGGGTATGAGGACAAGGAGGTGGGGTATGAGGACAAGGTGCTGAGGGTAATTGGGAGACCCGTCACCTGTAGCCACCTACCACAGGTAACGGTAACCCAACCTGATCCTGGCAACCACTGTGTCGCACAGTCTGGTGGACGTTTTGTGCTGCCCATAGATGTAGGTTTCAGATCTGAACAAATCGTAGCTTTTTATACTAGTACTTTCAGGTCGTTGGGAGTCAGTAATTTCTTTCCTTTATCAGACCTGAGTGTTTGGACCGATATAGTTTTGACAGCCGAGATGGGAATACCTAGATCTAATTCAGCTTCATCCTTGTTACACGCTAATTTGGCTGCAATGTCTGTCTCATTATGATGGGTTATATTTATGTGTGAAGTTATCTAAACAAAAGAGATCCGAAACCTTTTACTCTGTGCAGCGATTGGGTCATTTATAATTGTTAGTATGAGGTTCTTGCTGTCGATCTTCCAGAAGTTTTCGATTGCTTGAAGAGCAGACTTTGAATCACAAAATATTATTCCTCCTCCAATGTTTTTAATGTACTGGTTGCTAAGTGTAATGCTGCTGGTTCTGCTTGTGTGGAGGTCAGCCAGTTGTTTAACGTGACACTGACAGTCTTTGTGCAAATATTGTTTCTATAAAACCTACATGCTGCTGCAGTCCGTGTAGACACAGGACCGTCGGTGTAGACACAGTGCTCGTGAGATCTTAAATTTTCGACGGAGGAGGCAACTGTTTCGAGTGTGACAGCCTTGAGAAGAGTAAGATTCTCATTATCTTTCTTGATGACAGGTGTGTATGATACTTGAATGGTGGGGTACAGATAAAGAGGAATATCAGAGACAGGTAGATTGCACTTAAAAGGATTCTTGAGTTTGATGAGATAGTAAGCATTTTTGCTCGGCCATTTATCATAAAAGGAGTGAGTTGGTATGTCGGCACCAGTCAATAGGGTGTTAACAGCACTAAATAATTTGTCTCTGAGCAATACAGGAGATGTAGGGTCTCTCATGACTTTAAGGCAAAAGGTAGTGTTGACTTGCATGATTCTCTCTAGTATGGTTGGAAGCTTCAGTTCTTCCCTCATGTTGATGATTCTTGTGCATCTTGGAGCACCAAGAATTATCCTCATGGCTTCATTCTGTACTACTTCAAGTTTGTCCAACACAGAGGAAGGGAAATTAATTAAGTGCAGAGCATTATAATCAACGAGAGATCTAACAAACATCATATAGAATAGTCAATGGTTTTAGTCTTTCTTTTAACCTACGGTGTAGATCATTTACAATGTCATTGTTAATACCAACTCCAAGGTATTTGTGCTGCCTACACGTTTCAATGTTCTGGTTGTTGACCTTGAAAGTTATAGGGATCTGAGTTTTCTCTTGGGGATGGAGAACTCTGGATTTAGTTATAGAGATAACAAGACCACATTCAATGCTTTTAGCAGCGAGTGTATCAAGTAGAGCTTGCAGTCTAGTTTGGGTATTTGCAACAATGCATATGTCATCGGCACAGCAGATGGCGACTTCGTCAGGTAGTGTGGGAATATCAATTGTTAATTTGTGCATTAGAACACTAAACAGTGTAGGACTTAGCACTCCACCCTGGGGTGTACCCAACTCAAAGGGTGCACAAAGTTTACTTTTGACCCCTTTGAAAAAGACTGAGGCGGTTCTGTTACTCAGGTAACCCCTGAGCCATTTCAACAGTCTTCCCTTAACTCCAAAAGAAGCTAGTTGTTCTAAGATTATTTCCCTATTTGCTGTATCAAAAGCAGTTTGGAGATCAATAAATGCCTCCTGAGAGTTTGGTCCCCCTCTGATAAAATACTCAGCAAAGCAAGTTTGTGTGCTTCTTCCAGGAAGGAAACCATACAGGTTAGGGGCAAGGTGGGGCTTGATTTGAAACATTAGTCTGTCGAGAATAATTCTCTCAAGAACTTTACACATGCACGACGTCAGAGAAATGGGTCTGAATTTTTGTGAATTAGGCTTGGGTATGGGTATTATGAGTCCCTGTGTCCAGCGGTCAGGTAAGACACCACTGAGTGGTCTTACTTTGCGTAAGGTAAATTTTACTTTATTTTGTCATTGGGTTGGTTGATAAAATCAGTATCAATGATAGGTACACGTTGCCAAGTGACTGTTAATGAGAGTGTTTAGCACGTTGTGGTTGGTTGATAATACCTGGGATGCCGCTATGAAGTCAGGGCCCAGATGGATTAGATTTTTGTTCGTTATCGTATTGTGTATGGCTTCTTCTGGATGCTGGGGTGGGAGATGAGGGAGGGATGCTGGGGTGGGAGATGAGGGAGGGATGCTGGGGTGGGAGAAGAGGGAGGGATGCTGGGGTGGGAGATGAGGGAGGGATGCTGGGGGGAGATGAGGGAGGGATGCTGGGTGGGGGGGAGATGAGGGAGGGATGCTGGGGGTGGGAGATGAGGGAGGGATGCTGCGGGTGGGAGATAAGGGAGGGAAGCTGCGGGTGGGAGATGAGGGAGGGAAGCTGGGGGGAGATGAGGCAGGGATGCTGCGGGTGGGAGATGAGGGAGGGATGCTGGGGGGGGGGGAGGGAACGTGTAAGACCAGGAGGTGGGCCACGACACCCGTAATTAATGAACACGTTTGTAGCGACCGCAGCACACGACACCCTGTCTGCTGGGCGTCCCTGTTGTCTGCTGGGGCGTCCTTGTTGTCTGCTGGGGCGTCCTTGTTGTCTGCTGGGCGTCCCTGTTGTCTGCTGGGGCGTCCTTGTTGTCTGCTGGGGCGTCCTTGTTGTCTGCTGGGGCGTCCTTGTTGTCTGCTGGGGCGTCCTTGTTGTCTGCTGGGGCGTCCTTGTTGTCTGCTGGGCGTCCCTGTTGTCTGCTGGGGCGTCCTTGTTGTCTGCTGGGGCGTCCTTGTTGTCTGCTGGGCGTCCCTGTTGTCTGCTGGGGCGTCCTTGTTGTCTGCTGGGACGTCCTTGTTGTCTGCTGGGCGTCCCTGCTGTCTGCTGGGCGTCCTTGTTGTCTGCTGGGCGTCCTTGTTGTGTTGTCTGCTGGGCGTCCTTGTTGTCTGCTGGGCGTCCCTGCTGTCTGCTGGGCGTCCCTGTTGTCTGCTGGGGCGTCCTTGTTGTCTGCTGGGCGTCCTTGTTGTCTGCTGGGCGTCCTTGTTGTCTGCTGGGCGTCCCTGCTGTCTGCTGGGCGTCCCTGCTGTCTGCTGGGCGTCACTGTTGTCTGCTGGGGCGTCCTTGTTGTCTGCTGGGCGTCCTTGTTGTCTGCTGGGTGTCCCTGTTGTCTACTGGGCGTCCCTGTTGTCTGCTGGGCGTCCTTGTTGTCTGCTGGGCGTCCCTGTTGTCTGCTGGGCGTCCTTGTTGTCTGCTGGGGCGTCCTTGTTGTCTGCTGGGCGTCCCTGTTGTCTGCTGGGCGTCCCTGTTGTCTGCTGGGCGTCCCTGTTGTCTACTGGGCGTCCCTGTTGTCTGCTGGGCGTCCATGTTGTCTGCTGGGCATCCCTGTTGTCTGCTGGGCGTCCCTGTTGTCTGCTGGGCGTCCCTGTTGTCTGCTGGGCGTCCATGTTGTCTCCTGGGCGTCCATGTTGTCTGCTGGGCATCCCTGTTGTCTGCTGGGCGTCCCTGTTATTTGGTGAGCGTCTCTCTTGTCTGCTGGGCGTCCCTGTTGTCTGCTGGGCGTCTCTCTTGTCTGCTGGGCGTCCCTGTTGTCTGCTGGGCGTCTCTCTTGTCTGCTGGGCGTCTCTCTTGTCTGCTGGGCGTCTCTCTTGTCTGCTGGGCGTCCCTATTGTCTGCTGGGCGTCCCTGTAGTCTGCTGGGCGTCCATGTAGTCTGCTGGGCGTCCCTGTAGTCTGCTGGGCGTCCCTGGTGTCTGCTGGGCGTCCCTGTAGTCTGCTGGGCGTCCCTGGTGTCTGCTGGGCGTCCCTGTTGTCTGCTGGGCGTCACTGTTGTCTGCTGGGCGTCCCCTGTTGTCTGCTGGGCGTCCCTGTAGTCTGCTGGGCGTCCCTGTAGTCTGCAGGGCGTCCCTGTAGTCTGCTGGGCGTCCCTGTAGTCTGCAGGGCGTCCCTGTAGTCTGCTGGGCGTCCCAGTTGTCTGCTGGGCGTCCCTGGTGTCTGCTAGGCGTCACTGTTGTCTGCTGGGCGTCCCCTGTTGTCTGCTGGGCGTCCCTGTAGTCTGCTGGGCGTCCCTGTAGTCTGCAGGGCGTCCCTGTAGTCTGCTGGGCGTCCCTGTAGTCTGCAGGGCGTCCCTGTAGTCTGCTGGGCGTCCCAGTTGTCTGCTGGGCGTCCCTGGTGTCTGCTGGGCGTCCCTGGTGTCTGCTGAGCGTCCTGGTGTCTGCTTAGCGCGCATGCAGTAACCTCACGCTAAAGGAAAACTTTCCAAAATCTGTGACTCACCTGAGTCTCCAGCTGCCACCCGCGCCCCCGTGTTCTCTGGATATGCTTTAAGATTGTCTCTGCTTCCGCCCCAGTCAATCCCTATAAGTATTTTATACGTCTGTATCATGTCCCCTCTCTCCCTCCTTTCTAACGTTGTCAGGATTAGTTCCTTCAGTCTCTCTTCGTACACACACACACACACACACACACACACACACACGGACAGCACGCAGGACACGTGATCCTGTGGTCCCGGGTTCGATCCCGGGCGCCGGCGAGAAACGATGGGCAGAATTTATTTCACCCTATGCTCTTGTTACCTAGCAGTAAATAGGTACCTGGGAGTTAGTCAGCTGTCACGGGCTGCTTCCTGGTGTGTGTGTGTGTGGTGTGGGGAAAAAAAGTAGTAGTAGAAACAAGTTTGGCAAACAAAATTACAGGCAAACTTTATTTTTTGTAAAGTTTGCAAACAACAGTTGGTAATTTTTGTTTTTGTTTTTGTTTTTTAAAGAAAAAAGTACATTAAAGCAGTTCATGAGATGTTGCCAGATTCCTTGTGGGGATCCCACAGGTGCCTTGTTCCGTGGCACTCATGACACTTATGGCAACCCCGATCCAATATTGGTATGTAACTAGTTGTCTCATATTATAAAAAGTGCATCGTGATAATTATATGAAACTTATCATTCCACCAGGCTTACCACATCAGTCATTCCAGCACAAATCATCCTCTATATTTAAGTTCATCACTTAAAAAACAAGTTGAAAAATAAACTTCACAAAGTTCATTTTGCAGTTTTATTTGGCGTGACCCTGCTTGATACCTGCTTGATGGGGTTGTGGGAGTTCTACTCCCCATGGTGCCGTAGGACGCGGTTCGCTGAAGCTCTCTTCAGCATCCTCAGAGGCAGCGAGAAAGTCAAATTAAATCGGCATAGGTGCCACTGTATGTTCTAGGTAGTATGAACAGAGGCTTGAAGTGTAGGTCGTGGTTGTGCGTGTGGCACAGGTAGCAGTGTAGGTCGTAGTAGTACTGCAGGTCGTAGTGATACAGGTCATAGTTGTGCAGTCTGTGCAGGGCAGGGGGGTGCAGGTCAGGGGGGTGCAGGTCAGGGGGGTGCAGGTCAGGGGGGTGCAGGTCACGGGGGTGCAGGTCACGGGGGTGCAGGTCAGGGGGGTGCAGGTCAGGGGGTGCAGGTCAGGGGGGTGCAGGTCAGGGTGGTGCAGGTCAGGGGGGTGCAGGTCAGGGGGGTGCAGGTCAGGGTGGTGCAGGTCAGGGGGGTGCAGGTCAGGGTGGTGCAGGTCAGGGTGGTGCAGGTCAGGGTGGTGCAGGTCAGGGGGGTGCAGGTCAGGGGGGTGCAGGTCAGGGGGGTGCAGGTCAGGGTGGTGCAGGTCAGGGTGGTGCAGGTCAGGGTGGTGCAGGTCAGGGTGGTGCAGGTCAGGGTGGTGCAGGTCAGGGTGGTGCAGGTCAGGGTGGTGCAGGTCAGGGTGGTGCAGGTCAGGGTGGTGCAGGTCAGGGGGGTGCAGGTCAGGGTAGTGCAGGTCAGGGTGGTGCAGGTCAGGGGGGTGCAGGTCAGGGGGGTGCAGGTCAGGGGGGTGCAGGTCAGGGTGGTGCAGGTCAGGGTAGTGCAGGTTAGGGTGGTGCAGGTCAGGGTGGTGCAGGTCAGGGGGGTGCAGGTCAGGGGGGTGCAGGTCAGGGTGGTGCAGGGCAGGGTGGTGCAGGTCAGGGTGGTGCAGGTCAGGGGGGTGCAGGTCAGGGGGGTGCAGGTCAGGGGGGTGCAGGTCAGGGGGGTGCAGGTCAGGGGGTGCAGGTCAGGGGGGTGCAGGTCAGGGGGGTGCAGGGCAGGCTGGTGCAGGTCAGGGTAGTGCAGGTCAGGGTAGTGCAGGCCAGGGTAGTGCAGGCCAGGGTAGTGCAGGTCAGGGTGGTGCAGGTCAGGGGGGTGCAGGTCAGGGTGGTGCAGGTCAGGGTGGTGCAGGTCAGGGTGGTGCAGGTCAGGGGGGTGCAGGTCAGGGTGGTGCAGGTCAGGGGGGTGCAGGTCAGGGTGGTGCAGGTCAGGGTGGTGCAGGTCAGGGGGGTGCAGGTCAGGGTGGTGCAGGTCAGGGTGGTGCAGGTCAGGGTAGTGCAGGTCAGGGTAGTGCAGGTCAGGGTGGTGCAGGTCAGGGTAGTGCAGGTCAGGGTGGTGCAGGTCAGGGTAGTGCAGGTCAGGGTGGTGCAGGTCAGGGTGGTGCAGGTCAGGGTGGTGCAGGTCAGGGGGTGCAGGTCAGGGTCAGGGTAGTGCAAGTCAGGGTAGTGCAGGTCAGGGTGGTGCAGGTCAGGGTGGTGCAGGTCAGGGTAGTGCAGGTCAGGGTAGTGCAGGTCAGGGTGGTGCAGGTCAGGGTGGTGCAGGTCAGGGTGGTGCAGGTCAGGGGGGGTGCAGGTCAGGGGGGTGCAGGTCAGAGGGGTGCAGGTTTGCGGTAGAACTCTCGTTGCTGTTGGTGGTCACGGCTGGATAGATCGATCACAACCCTCCCGCCCTCCCTCTTCCCTCCCTCTCTCCTTCCCTCCCTTCTCTCTCTCTCCCTCTCACACAAATGCCTTCTTCCGTGTCTCATCCTCCCTCTCTACAACTATCCTTCTCTCCCTCTCTGACATATTTTCGTTCGCTTGTATTCTCACACTATCTCTCCTATCCTTCTCATGTCTCATTTATACTTGCTTATCATTCTTAGTCTGTATTCCTCTCTCACTACTCTCATTCATCTCTCACTCTTGACACGCCATGCTATTTTCTTCTCTTCCTTCCTATTCTCATTCCCTTAACTTCTCTCTTCCTTTTGTCCTTCCACTCCCATCTCTCCTTGTTTCTGTTTCTCTCTCTCTCTCTCCCTTCTCCCTTCTCCCATGCTCTCTCTGCCTCTCTAATTACCTTCGAGGCGCCGATGACCTTGTTCGTAAGATTTCAGAGTAGTTAAGCACCAACTACCTGTCAACGAGGCGTACATCTCGACCCGGAGTGAGTAATTAGTAGCATCAAGCCGCCCTAGAAGACACACATTGTAGGTTATATAGGAATTATCAGTACCTCTTGTATCACACACACTCACACACACACACACACACACACACACATCTAGTCAAGTATAAGACTAAACTTGAAAAGGTTCAAAGGTTTGCCACCAGACTAGTACCCGAACTGAGGGGTATGAGCTACGAGGAGAGACTACGGGAATTAAACCTCACGTCACTGGGAGACAGAAAAGTTAGAGGGGACATGATCACCACTTTCAAGATTCTCAGAGGAATTGATAGGGTAGATAAAGACAGACTATTTAACACAAGGGGCACACGCACTAGGGGACACAGGTGGAAATTGAGTGCCCAAATGAGCCATAGAGATGTTAGAAAGAATTTTTTCAGTGTCAGAGTAGTAGACAAATGGAATGCATTAGGAAGTGATGTGGTGGAGGCTGACTCCATATACAACTTTAAGTGTAGATATGATAGAGCCCAATAGGCTCAGGAACCTGTACACCTGTCGATTGACCGTTGAGAGGCGGGACCAAAGAGCCAGAGCTCAACCCCCGCAAGCACAATTAGGCGAGTACACACTCACACAGCTCCCTGACAACAACGCTGTGTGTTCTTAACTTAACTCTCTAACCTAACTTGAGTGTGTTCCTAAGCTTAACTTAGCTGCCAATGTGATATGAGGAGCTGGGATATTAGGACAAGGAGCTGGGATATAAGGACAAAGAGTTGGGATATGAGGGCAAGGAGCTGGGTGTTACGGCCACAATGGGTCGCAACCGGGTTCTTTGCTGGTGGAACTAAAGTTCTGGTATCCGGCCCCAAGTTAGTAGTGGCTTTCAAGGAGTGAGCTCGGTAATGCAAGTAAAACAAAAAGGGGGGGGGGGTGCATTAAATACTACACTTCATTGATTATCCGTATATTCACATATATAATTAATTTCCCATCACCTCATGTATATAGTCCTAACAGAAGTATCTCTACACCTAATATATACAAAAGTGTCTCTCATGGGACACTACGCGCTCTTCGATGCTCACCAACCACTTGGGTTGGATGGTAGAGCGAGGGGTCTCGCTTCATGCAGGTCGGCGTTCAATCCCCGACCATCCAAGTGGTTGGGCACCATTCCTTTTCCCCTTCCCATCCCAAATCCTTATCCTGACCCCTTCCCAGTGTTATATGGTCGTAATGGCTTGGCGCTTTCCCCCCTGATAG